CCGCCCCGCGGACCAACGCGACGTCGATGCGCTGCTACGCGGCGCGGTACGCGGACCTCTTCGCGGCCTTCTGCAACGGCGACCTCGAGCACTGCTCGGCGCCCAAGCTCCGGCAGCACTCGCGGGCCGAGGGCCGCCGCGAGGGCCGCGCGACGGGCTGCGACGGCCTGCCCGCGGCCGCCGAGGCCATGCTGCGGCCGCGGCCGCTCGGCGCGTCGGCGCCCGCCGACGACGGGCGGCCGCCGCCGTCCTGGACGACGTTCTGCGTCGCGTCGCCGACCGGCGAGCGCCGCGCGCCGCGCATGGACGCCGAGACCTTCGAGGCCGCCGTCGACGCGCACTTTGGGACCTACGGCCCCGGGATCGCGCGCCTCGTCCTCAACCTCACGGGCGCGGCGTCCGGCGAGGAGTGCCGGCCGGGCCCCGCGCCGGGCCAGGTCCGGACGCGGCCCATGGTCCCCGGCCTCCGCTTCTGCGGCGAGGACTGGCCCTGCGCGGGCGCGGCGACGATGGTCGGCGTCGCGCGCCTCGCGTCGCTCGCGGCGATCCTGCGCGTCGTCGAGGCCGAGCGGGTCGCCGGCGACGTCGTGGAGCTGGGGTCCTGGCGCTGCGGCGCGGCCGCCTTCGCGCGCCGCGTCCTCGACGCCGTCGGCGGCGGCGCGCGCGTCGTCCGCGCGTTCGACGCCTTCGGGCGCATCGGCGGCTACGGCCGCACGGCGGGAGGCCGGCGCCGCGGCGACGCTCCGCGCGGCCGGCGCCTCGGCCGTCGCGCTGCACGCGGGGCGCTTCGCGGAGACGGTGCCGGAGTTCCGCGCGACGGGCCGCGGCGTCGCGGTCCTGCGCGTCGACGCCAACTTCTGCGGGTCCTACCAGGACGCGCTCTACGGCCTCTACGACCGCGTCCCCGTCGGCGGCTTCGTCGTCTTCACGCACCCGGAGGTCATGCGCTGCTGGCTCGACTTCAAGGCCGACCAGGGCCTGCCCGAGGACCTCGTCCGCGTCGACCTCGCGTCCGCGTTCTTCCGGAAGCGGGCCGACGTGGTCGTCGACGCGTCGAAGCGGCGGCGGCCCTTCGAGCGGCCGGGCGGGTTTCGAACCTAGGGTTCTTATGGCTGGACTCTTGCGTAAGGTGACGCCCGGCCTCCGCTTCAACGAGACCTCAAGGAGGTCATCAACCTAGAAGCTCGCTTTGCGTGGCTCGGCTGCTGAGCTGTGCACCGCGGTGACGCGATATGGCGCAGATCATGTTGCGACGCTCGCTCCCGCTGCTGCTGCTCGGCGCGCAGGCGCTGGTGCTGCCACCTCATTCGCCGGCCAGGCAGCAGCTGCGCAGGCTGGCGTGGCAGACCTACCACGACGACGCGGGCACGCCATACTATTACGACACGGACACGGGCGAGACGACGTGGACGATGCCACGGGCGTTAGACGATGGCGCGGACTTGTCCTCGCAGGCCGACGATAACTTCTCGCAGGCCGACGCGGTTTCGACGGGCGAGGCCCGGCCGTCGGCGCGGGTCCAGCGGAGCAGGGACGTGATCAAAAGCAGGGCGCTCGGCGCCGGGAAGAGACAGGAGGCCTACAAGGCGGCGTGCGACGACGCCGAGGCGCGCGGCGAGCCGGCTCCCGACTACGTCAGTTTCATGACGTCGATGAGCGAGGCCGACGCCGCCGGGCCGCTCGAAACCGCTCCCGCCGCCGCGCCGCCCGCGGCGGCCATGTCCGCCGAGGAGGCGCAGGAGCTCGAGGACAGGAAGCGGGGAGAGGCCGCGAGGGCGCGCCTGCTGATTCGCATGGAGGCGTCCGCGGAAAAAGGCGCGCCGCTTCCGTCGAGCTACGCCGCCGACGACTACATGAGCAGTCTGGAAGCGTAACTGTGCACGGTTGCTTTGTACTTCTAGTCTATGTTCGATTTGGGGGGCCGGCCACGGGGCGACGCGCCGTCCGGGCGGGCCCGCTTGGTGGGTTCAGTGCACGACGATGCGGTCGGGCAAGACCGGGAGCGGCTGCGCGCAGGCCGGCGGCGGCGCGGCGTCCGCGGCGAGGAGGCTCCGGAACGCGCGGCGCATCTTGAGCCAGAGCGCCTTGACCGGCCGCGGCGGCGGATCGATGCACGCCGGGTCCAGCGAGTAGTCCTCGCGGACGATGACGCGCCAGAACTGGTCCGCGGTCGCGATCGAGTGCCAGTGGCGCGAGACGACGCCGGCCGCCAGCAGGCTCGCGGAGTCGAAGTAGGACACGAGCGTCGGCACGTTGTCCTCCAAAAGCGCCGGCTCGCCCGGCGAGAAGAGCGTGAGGATGCCGCCGAAGACGAGGTGGTTGATGCGCGCCATGAGGCTCGGGTCGTAGAGGATAATTTCGTTCGACTCCGCCCTCGCGCGCCCGCCGCCGCAGGCCGAGGCCTCGTTCCGAGCCGCCCCGTTCTGACCGCCGAACACGAGCGCCTCGAGGCGCCTGCGCCAGGTCGCTTCGCGCGGGTTGTACACCACGAGCTCCTGCGAGTCCGCGCGCGGCCGACCCATGTTCCAGCGACGGTCACGGCGCACCCGCGGAGCAGAAACTGCTCTCCCCGACACGACGTGAGCCCGATCGGCCGAACACCTGAGCCGCGCTGGGTTCATCTTCAAATTGAACAACGGCGGAGAGATGTTGCACCCATGCTGCGGCTTTGCGCTTAGGAGAGTTCCGTGCGCATGCCTTGCGTCGTGCGCATCGCATCATAACCGTGGTCGGAAGATTTAACACAGCACAAAAGCAACGCATCGCTTTCCCAAAGCACCAGCTGCCAAAGCACAGAGAGCCAACAGCATCATGATCATGGGCTGCGGGTCCGGCGGCGGTTTGGGCAGCCTCTCCAACGAGGAGATCGAGCAGATGAAGCGATGCCTCGCACGCGACGCCGAGGAGCAAGCGAAGAAGGAGGCCGCGGAGAAGGCGGCGGCGGCGCCCGCGCCGAGCGCGGCGTCGCCCGCGGCGTAGGCTCGACCGCGCCCGCGTTCGCCGCGCGCGGCGCGCCCAGCCGCACAACCTATTCGCTTCTACGAATCGCCGAGCAACCTAGCGTGCTCGTAACTTAGCCGTCCTTCTTCTTCCTTCGCCTCCTCCGCGGCGCCGCCTCCGCGGCGGCGGCGCGCGGCCTCGCCGGCGCGGCGGCGAGGAACGCGCGGAGCGCGGCGGCGACCTCCGGGTCGTCCCGCGGCAGCCAATGCCCCGCCGAGGTCCGGACGATCACCGGGTCTTTGAACCGCGATGCGAGGTGCTCGCCGGCCTCCGGCGGCACCGCGCCGTCGCGCTCGCCGACGATGTGCAACGACGGCACGTCGATCGCGCCGAGGCCCTCGTCGCCCTCCGCGAGGGCCTTTAGGCCCGTGCCCACGGCCGTGTAGCCGCACGCGAAGATGCCGAAGCGCACGCGGTGCGGGTGCAGCGCGCAGAGCACCGCGGCCATCGCGGCGCCTTGCGAGAAGCCGAGGACCGCGTCGTGCGCGTCCAGCGCCGGCGCGAGCGCCGCGGCGCTCTCCTCCCAGCCGAGCGCGCCGCGCGGGTCGGGTCGCACGTGGTCGAGCGACGGCCACCACCACATGCCATCGTGGTCCGGGCCGTCGCAGTCGACCGGCAGGTCTCCCATGAGCGCCCGAGCCTCGGGCAAGAACGCAGCGGTCGAGGCATGCATGCCGTGGAGGCAGAGCACGCGGGGACGAGCGTTTTGCTCCGCCAGGGCAGCCATGCAGCTACGAGCGCACTGCCCTCAGCCCACTACGAGCGCAGGTTTTGCTCCGCCAGGGTAGCCATGCAGCTACGAGAGCACCACCCTCAACCCACTACGAGCGCCGCAGCCCATCGTCGCTAAAAATGTGCCCTTCAACCACCAAAAGAATACTCCGAGTCGGAGGAGGCAGAAATTACCGCCGAACACGCGGCGCGGGGGTGGGCCACATCACAGGCTCAGCTCGTCGTCGTCGAAGCCGTCGTCCTGCGAGATGCGCGCCGCGCGGAGCGCGCCGAAGCCGACCTACGAACGAGCGGTCGCGCGCCGCGAAAAACAAAAAGAGGGACGCCGGCGGGCCGCACGGCGCCGACGCCGAGGGGCGTGTCGTCCATGTCGTCGTCGTCGGCGACGTCGATGGGCCGCGCGCGGAAGCGGCCGTCGTCCGCGTCGCTGTCGTCGTCGTCGTCGCCGTCGGAGCCGTAGGCGCGGTGGTCGCGGCCGTCGTCGTCGTCGAAGTTGGGCGCGTGGAGGCCGTCGTCGGAGTCGTCGGAGTCGCGGCCCTCCGGGTAGTCGTTGGCCTCGTGCTGCTCGTCGTTCGAGTCGAAGGACCGGTCGCTGTCGGAGAGGCCCGCGTCGCGCTCGTCGAGCGACGACACGGAGCTGTCGTCGCCGCCGAGGCGCTCGTCGACGCGCGGGTGGGGCAGGCGGAGGGCGTCGCGGAGCGGGTGGCGGATGCCGACGACGAGGGGCGCGCGCTTCGCGCGCGACGCGGCCGCCGCCGCGCGGTTCGCGAGCGTGCGCGCCCGGCCGTCCGGGTGGGGCGACACGACGCAGCGCGTCGACAGCGCGTCGTCGTCGTCGTCGTCGTCCGCGGACGCGAATTCGCCCGGCGGCGGCGCCGGCGCCGGCGGCGCGAGCTGCGTCGACGCGCCGCCCGCTGAGAGGTCGCCCATCGACGGGAACGCGGCGAGCGACTCGGGCGCCCAGGCGTCCTTGGGGCTCGGCGGCCGACGGTCGCCGGCGTCGCCGTCGTCGGCGCGCGCGTCGTAGGCGTAGACGTCGTAGACGAAGTCGTCCAACGGCAGCCCGACGCACGCGTCGTCGTCGTCCGGCGCGCCCCGGACGTCGACGTCCGTCCCGAAGTCGACCTCGCTCCGGCGCCGCGACCCGCTCCGGAGCGCGCTCGACCGCTCGAGCTGGGCCGCCAACAGGAGGTTCCGCGTGCCGTGGTGGCCCCGCGCGTGCGCAAGGGCCGACGCGTCGTTGCCGCGCGCGTCGACGACGCGCGGGTCCGCGCCCGACCCCAGCAGCCGCGCGACGTCGCCGTCGGCGCCGTGCCAGGCCGCGGCCATGAGCGGCGTCGTGCCGTCGCTCGGGCGCCGGAAGTCGGCCCGCGCGAAGCCCGCGCCGCGGTCGAGCGCGTCCCGCACCGCGGCGAGCGCGCGGGCCGCGGGTTCGCCCGGCGGCGCCTGGAACGCGGCGAAGACGGCCTCGTCGAGCCGCCGCTCCGCCGGGTTGAGGATGCGCCGCGTCGCCGCGTGGAGCTGCCCCAGATCCGGCGTCGTCGCCGACGGCCGCAGGGTCGCGTCGTCGCCCGCGTCCGCCTCCGTGAGGTCCTGGAGCGACCGAGACGTCTTGTTCTTCTTGAGGCCCCCGGACCGCGGCGGCGCGCCGGGGGCCGCCCGCTCGAGGGCGCCGTCCCGCAGGTCCACCCAGATCTTCGGACCGCCGCCGCCCGCCGGCGGCTCCTCGCGGAGCTGCTGCGTCTGCCGCCGCCGCCGCCGCGGCGGCGCGGCCGCGGCGCCGTCGTCGCGCGCCCGGCCCTCCTCCGACGGCCGCCCGCCGTCGTCGTGGGGCCGCCGCTTCCGCCGCAGGCGCCGCGCCTCCCGCAGCAGCCGCTGCGCGGTCTCGCCGTCGACGCGCCGCTCCATGTCCTCGGCCGCCGCCGCGTCGAGCGTCTCGAGGCGCCGGAAGCAGCGCCGCTCCACGGGCTCCGACGCGTCGGGCCGCGCGCCGGCCTCGAGGCCCATGCCGCCGAAGTCCGCCAGGAGCTTTTCCTTCGTCGACCGCTCGCGCTTCATCCGCGGCGCCGCGATGATGAGCGTGTCGCTCGGGAGCTCGTCGCGCTTCCGCTTCACGCGCACGAGCACCGCCATGGTGCTTTGGTGGTTTACGCGCTGGTATGTATGGTGCTTGGGTGATCTACGAAGTGGTATGTTAGCTCAGCGTTTGCGGGTGCGCCAGCGAGGGGACATCATGACTCTTCGCTCACACTCAATGCATTGCAGAGGCGCCGAAGCGAGGCAACGTGCGTGGGTTGCCACAGTTGCACCCATTTGTCGCAGCCCGCGCGGCCCGTCCCTCTCGTGGGGGATCGCTCGGGCCGGAGCAGGTGGCGCCGGTAGCCGCGTTGGACCCCGGGGACGTCGTCGCGCCGGGACACGGTAGTCACATGTGTGCGCTTGCAAGCGTAGACGACCACCGTCCATGCAGCAACTACAGCTTCCGTTTGAAAATGCAATCTTGATTTGACGTGCCGTTGCCGTAGCAGCCCAGCGGCAGCCCGCTCCGCAGCGGCCGGCGCGCGGCGCGGCGCGGCGCGGCGGCCGCCGATGCGGCTCCTCATCACGCGGCCGCGCATCCAGTACGACAGCACGGCCATCTACGAACCGCTTGTGGTCGAGTACCACGAGGAGGACTTCACCGTGCGCCAGCTCAAGGAGCTCATCGCGAAGCGCCAGCGGCTCCTGTCGACGGGCGAGAAGCCGCGCGTCGGCGCCGAGGACTCCAAGGTCATCGTGCGTGCCGCCAGCGCCGGGGAATTTTTCGCGAGGCGCGCCGCGCGCGCGGCGGCCGACGTCCGGCCCGACGCAGGTGCCGCCGCGCGACCAGATCCTGCTCATCCGCCAGTTCCGCGACTCGTCCATGCACGGCGTCTACCTCGAGGACGAGATGACCCTCGCGTCCTACGGCATCTCCGAGAACCTCGACGACAACCTCTTCCTCCGGCGGAGCAACCCGCTCAAGGAGGAGATCGCGGAGATCCTGCTCGTCGACGAGCACCACCTCACGCCGGGCCAGAAGCACCGCATGCGCGACGCCATCGCCCAGAGGGACATCAACTACTTCCGCCACTGCATCCAGATGTAGTCGAGTTCGTTTCCGCGCGGCGCCGCCCCGCCGTCCGCGAGCGGCGGCCGCGCCTCCTGTCTGTTGTAACTTCGCCCGTTGTCCTCGCACCTGTCGGCGCCCGTCGCTCGCACGGTCGGGACCCCTCGCGCTGCGCGGATATGGGAACGGTTGGTTAGGTGCGCGAACGGCGGACGCCCCCGCTCGGGGGGCGGCCCGCCGGCCGCGCGGTGCCTCGGCGAGCCGCCCTAGTAGGGCGTGATGTGCTCGTTGATGAAGCGCACGTCCGGCGACGCGCCGATGCGGCCGTGGGGCGTGATGTACTTGACGGACGAGCCCGCGGCGACGAGCCACTTCTCCTGGCGGCCCTTGACGTACGTCTCGCGGTCGAACTTGGTGAAGCCCCACTTGGCGGACTTGAGGATCTTCTGGCGCCCGGGGAACTTGAACTTGGCGCGGCGGAGCGCGACGAGCACCGCGTCCGCGTTCGCGTCCTTGGCGCGGACGCTGAGCACGGCCTGGCCGATGGACACGCGCGCCGCGCGCTCCATGGGCTTGCCGTAGGAGTGGCGCATCCCCGACGAGAGGCGATCGGCGCCGGCGCACGAAAGCATCTTGTTCTGGCGGATGACATGGAACGGGTGCGCGCGCGTGCGGATGTGGTACGCCTCCTTACCACAGTTCTTGATGAGGTACTTGTTGCACGCGACGCGCGCGGCCTCGAGGGCGTTGGACGAGATCTGCTCCTTCTCGTCGGACACGAGGTGGGCGACGAAGGGGAACTGGTCCACGGACGCCTTCTTGTTGCCGCAGTCGAAGATGCGGATCTTCGGGTCGGGCACGCCGCGGCAGTACCGCGACTTGATGTAGGGCTTGTTCTTCTGGAAGCGCGAGCAGCGGGCGGGGCGGCGACCCATGGTTGGCCTACGGGAAAAGAGGGCGGGTGAGCGCGCGTCGGCGCGTCCGTCGTCGCGCGGCGCGTCGTCGGCGCTCTCGGAGTGCGTCGCGTCGGCGAGGCTTTTTACCGCGATTTTTTTGTATCGCCGTGCTCGTCTAGCGTTCGCCCAACACTCTCAGCTCTCAGCCGCGCCTCCGAGCTCACACCCGCGTCAAAACACCGCGTCAATTGGCGCCGCGACGCACAGGCTCAGCAGCTCGCGCAAAAAGAGCGAGGAGAGCGAAGCAGCGAGCCGGTTCGCTTGGCCGGGGGTCGGACCGGTCCGGCCATCTCCGGGCCCAGCTCATCGCGGCATGGATCTCGTCAAGCGCTGCGTCGCGCTGCCGCGCTGCGTCGCGCTGCTGCTGCTACTGGCCACGACAACAACCGCCCTCGCCCCGACCAGACGACAGCTCGTGCTCGGCGGCGGCTGCGCCACGCTCGTCACGCCGTCCATCGCTGGGGCAAACATCGCCGGCGGCTCCTCCAACAGCCTGAACCTGCGCATCAACGACAAGATCACGGCGCCCGAGGCAAAAACCCAACCGGACGTCGTGCTCGACAACGCCGTGCTCGAGCCGCTGTCGAAATACGCCAACGACTTTGGGGACATCGGCGCGGCGTTCGCGGAGGAGGACGGCGGCGGCGCGGCGCAAATCCAAAAGTTCTTCGCGCCCGGCGGCTCCTACGAGCGGCTCGCGCGGTCCGTGCAGGGCGTCACGGGCGACGACACCATGCCCAAGGGCGTGCGCAAGGCCGGCAAGGCCTTCCTCGACGCGACGAGCATGACGCGCGCGTCCTACAACGTCGGCGACTTCGACAAGGCCTTCGCGCAGTACGGCACGTCGCTGACCATCCTCGTCGGCTTCCTCGGCCGCGTCGGCGTCGTCGCCGACGCGCCCGTGGCGCCGCGCGAGGCCGCGGCCCCCGTCACGCGGAGGACCTACCTCCCCGGGCCCTTCCAGACCCTCTAACTTTGCTCGAGGACTCGGCGGGGAAGACACCGCCTGGACAAAACACCACTAGAACCGCCGCCGCGCCTGCGCGCGCCGCAGCCGCCAGCGTTTCGCGCCGCCGCGCCTCGCCTCGAGCGGGATGCGGCACGCGGCCTCGAGCACGCGGACCGCGTCGTCGAGGATGCGGCGCTGGCCGTGGCGGTAGCGCGCGACGAAGACGTCCCGCGCGTCGACGGCGTCGCTCGGCAGCGACGCGTTCGCGAGGCGCGCGTCGGCTTCGGCCGTCGCGTCGAAGGGCCGCGCGCTCACGGCGCAACACCCGAGGATCTTGTACAAGATCTCCGTCGCGGCCGCCTCCGCGCCTCCGAGCCGCCGCCAGCGCCGCGGCGGCCGGCGGAGCGCGTCTTTCGCGCGCGCGGCGGCGCCCCTCGCCGCTCGCTCGTCGTCCGCGAGCGCGCGCCAGAGCGACCGCGGGAACTGGCGCGGCCCCGCGGCGCGGAGGTCGAAGACCGCGTCGTCGCCGAGCCGCAGCCGGAAGACGTCGCGCGCGTCGTCCCGGAGCGCGAAGCCGTGGCTCATCATGTGCGCGAGGTTCGTCTTCCTCCCGTAATTCGTCAGCAGCTCGTCGCCGACCCGCGGCAGCGGCGGCGCCTGCGCGAAGTGGACGAAATCGTCCGAAAACCCGTAGGCCTCGGCGGCGTCCGCGCCGTGGTTCCGCAGGTCCAGGAGCGGCGCGAGGACGCCGCAGCCGCCGGGCTCCCCGCCGAGCAGGCTGCTCTGGAACGCGCGCGTCACGACCATCTCCCGCGCCCAGACGACGTCGGCTTCCGCCATATCGCCGAAGAGGTCCGGCCGCGCGGCGCGCAGGCGCGGCAGCAGCGCCTTCGTCGCCGCGCGAACTTCCGCGCGCTCCTTCTCGGCCGCCGCGCCGAGCTCCGTGCCGTCGAGCCGCCGCCGGAGCCGCGCCGGGTACGTCGGCGCGTGCTGCGAGCCGCCCGCGGGCAGCGACGCGAGGTAGGGGTGCTGCGGATGCGCCGGGTCCTGCCGACCGGCGGCGACGTCGAGGCACAGGACGAACTCGTCCGCGCACTCCGGCAAGACGTTCCGCGCCGCCCGGCCGACGTCGCGCGCCAGCGCGCCCTCGGCCGTCACGCAGCAGCGCGCGGGCACGCGCGCGAGCACGATTGGTCGCTGCGGTGGCGAGCGCGCTGGTGCTGGCGACGGCTTGATCGCTGGCGTCTCCGTGGCGAGGAAGACGCCGAGGCCGCCGTAGGACGTCTCCTGGACGCGCACGTTTTCCAGGCCCTCGGCGCCGTTCTGCGCGAGCCACGTGAGCATCGATTGCGTCTTCTGCAATTGCGTCATTGAGCCAGCAGCCTACCTCACCTCAGCCACAATCATCCATCGCAAAAAGAGCCGGTTCACTTTGCCAGAAGTTGACCTTAGCCGCTTCGCTTGCTAAACTAGCCGGGCCACGGTGCAACGTCCAAAGCAACAGGTCCGCGGACGCAGAGCGCCGGAGTTAGCCGGGCCACGGTGCAACGTCAAAAGCAACAGGTCCGCGGACGCAGAGCGTCGGTCCCAGGTAGGCCCGGTCCGCGAGCTCCGGGCCGCGGCGGCGGAAGTCGAGCGCGGCGACGAGGGGCGCGAGGATGGCGTGCGCGGCCTGGAGCGCGGCGGCGCCCGCGGGGCAGGCGCGCCGGCCGAGGCCGAAGGACGCGCAGGGCCGCGCCTTCCGCGGCGCGAGCGGGTCCCAGGCGCCCGGCCGCGCGTCGTCCGAGTTGACGCTCAACACGTCGAGCTTGAGGAACCGCCGGGGCCCCGAAAAGTCGCGCGCGAGCGTCCACACCGGCGGGGCGACGCGGAGCGTCTCCTCGAGGCAGCGCGCGAGCACGAAGCGCTGGGGCACGGACGCGTCGTCGCCGGCGGCCGCGGCCTGCTTGAACGCCGCGAGCGCGGCGCGCTCGTCGCGCGCCGTCGCGGCGTCCGCCGCCCGGCACCAGTCCCGCGCCCGGATGCGGGCCTCGCGCCGGTCGGCGAGGCCCGCGAGCGTCCAGAGCACGAGGCCGAGGCACGTCTCGAAGGCCGCGACGAGCGCGTTCGACGCGTTCGGCACGACCTCGTCGGCGCGCAGCGCGCTCTCGTCGGCGTCGTCGCGGCGCGCCGCGTCGCGGAGCGCGCCGATGACGCCCGCCACGCGCGGGTCGGCGACGGCCGCCGCGAGCGCGGCGCGATGGGCCCGCGCGGCCGCCGCGCCGCCCTCCTTCGGCGACCGACCGCGGATGCAACGCCAGTGCGGGCCCAGGGTTTCGAGGAGCTCCTTCGACGCGCGGTCGTCGAGCGACCCGGCGAAGAGGTCGACGGCCCACGCGGAGATCTCGGCCTCGAGCACCGCCCGGAGGTCCGCGGCGCCCGGCGCCGCCGCGAGGATCCGCGACGCGGCGGCCTCGCCGCAGGCCACGGACCGCGCGAGCGCCGCCGGGAGCTCGCGGACGATGGCGCGCCGCTGCCGCCGCCAGACGTCCTCGGACGCGGCCGTCAGCGGGGGGCATCCGTTCGCCCACGGCTTGCCCTTGGCGTCGATGAGCCCGCGCCTCTCGAGGTCGAGAAACGTCGCCGCGTCGCGGACGAGGCAGACGGGCCCGAGGATCAACAAATTTTTCGCCGGTAAGGCGCGACGTATTTGCCACAGTTTTTGGCCGCGGCAGGTCAGAAGCTCACGCCACTCTGGCAGTCGAGTTTTTGTCCACGACCACGGCGTCGCCAGCAGCGCACCCATGCGGCGCTCAGCTGCCGGGATGCCCATTGCGGGGCTCAGCTTTCAGTCATGTTGACCTCAAACAGAGCTCTGGAGGCCTCTCCGGGGCCACAAACGCTCGGAGGCCGATCGCGAGTCCACGCGTCAGTTCCATCGTAGCGTGCTTCTTTAGCAATGCGCATTGCTTTAACATATCCCACCGGCGGGATATGTTACCGCAACAACCACGGCTCCCGTTGCTACCTGTGGTCGTTAAACAGCTGCGCGTCCGACGTCGCGTCGACGCCCCAGAGCGACGTCGGCGCCGCGGAGGGCCGCGTCGCGAGGTCGCCCTCCGCGAGGCAGACGTGCTCCTCGCACGTGCCCGCGCAGCGCATGACCTCGCCGTCGTGGTCCGTGACCTTGACGAGCGTGCCCTCGGTGGACGCCAGCAGCAGCGTGTAGCAGCCGTCCATGGCGCAGAAGAAGGCGCTGCCGCGGCCCGCGATGTCGAAGCTCGCGTCGATCAGGGTCTTCGTCGTCGAGTCGCCCGTCGACACGAGCGCGAAGACGACCTCGTCGTCGACGACGGCCGAGGCCGCCGTCAGCAGCACGTGGTAGCCCCACTCCGTGTCCGCGCAGGCCGCCGTCGGCCGCAGGGACGGCGCGGCCGTCGACGGCGCGAACGTCCTCGTCGGCGCGACCGTCGGGAAGTACGTCGTCGGCGACGACGACGGCTGCTCGTAGAGGGCGCTGCCGTCGCCGATGAAGTTCATGGCGCAGAACGTCGCCGACGTCGCCTGGTCGCTGCGCACGTGGAAGCGCTGGCCCTTGCTGTCGTGGACCGTCGCGATGCCCCGCGTCAGGACGATGTCGTAGCACCCGTCCTTGACGCACAGGTCGTCCTCCATCTGCTCGTGGTCCGTCGGGTAGGTGACGTCGTAGACGACCTCGCCGTTCGTCGCCTTCGTGATCAGGCAGTTCGCGTCGCCCCGGTCCGTGAAGTCCTCGTTGAGGCCCCAGAGCGTGATGTGGTAGTGGCCGTAGGAGTCGTCGTCGCACGCCTTCGTCGGCAGCGGCGAGGGGACGACGGACGGCGACGACGTCGTCGGCGAGAGGGACGGCGCGGACGTCGGCGGGTAGGACGGCGCGGACGTCGGCGCGGGCGTCGTCGGGCTCGCCGTCGGGTCCAGCGTCGGCGGGAACGACGGCGCGAACGACGGCCCGACGCTGGGCTCGCTCGTCGACGGCGCGAGCGACGGCGCGGGCGTCGGCGTCGAGGTCGGT